TACAATACAGATGAAGGTCAACTTGACAGGAGGTAGTTGGCCTTGACACGCGTCTCGTGCGAATTGTTCACCGAAAAGTCGATAGAAATGCTTAGATCCCTTAAGAAACCAAGAATTGCTAGAAGGAGATGCCTCATCAAGGAAAAGGAAACAGAAGTGCAGCTCACCGAGGCGCGTCCTCGGGGTGGGTGAAGTGCACCTCTCCACTCAACACTTCATCTTGTTCAAGTGGCAACGGTCCTGACAGGTAAAGCAACGACTGCTGCCAGTGGGTGGAACTGGATTCAAGACAGGTCACAAGTTCATGCATCAACCTTCACGCAGTCCATGTCAATGACACCCGCATACATTGAACCATGTGCATACCCCTCTCTTGTCTACATTAAAGTTCTCGCCTAACTTGAAGTGGATTGAAGGACCATAATGAGGACTTACGCCTTATAGGGTGAAGTAGAGAGCACATCGCCGTGTGGAAACTGCACGGAAAACCAAATGACGAAGCCCCTGACCGAGACCGTGCCCATTGATTTCACCTCGAAGGTGCCCTAAGCATGCAACAGTGAGGCGCCAAAATAATCGCTACTTAAACATAGTGGGTGGGGGGGCTTATCCTACAGTTGAAATGAGACCTGTTTATTAACAAAGCATTTATCGTGCCTAAAGATACGAACGATGATGTAATGATGATATGAAATGCGTCAAAGTTGTAGCTTGTTTCGCACGGCATGGGCAATCCATTACTACCCAACATAAACTACTCAGTATACCACCCTAACTTTGCAGTGGGACAAACTTGGCAGACTTGCGAACGGATTGCCCTCCTCGTCACGATTTGGCAGTTGGGAATTCAACATTGCAAAGAACACGCATTTGATGATTCAAATTGCATGCATATAAGGTCGCGTTACAGTGCACTTCAAATGCACCCCTATCTGCTTCCAACGGCTAGGACAGTTCCATGCGGTGTGTTTGGACAACTCTTATTCTAGCAAGGGTGACCGCTTGCCATAGGTGAATCTTACGGTGATACCCAAATTCTAGCTCTTCGTTTTTCCACATTGTGCTCTTCGCGATGTGCAGTAAAGCTACAGTGGTATCATGTGATGCCTTTCCGCCAACATTACGCATCCTTTGCCTCTGGGTCATCAGTTTGGGGTGAACATGTCTGTAAAAGTAATCACAAACACAAAAGGAGATTGTGAAATGGGGATGAACGAATGTGAAAGGAAAAGGGCTACATTGAAGTCTCCTGTTGGAGCCAAACATGCTCCAGTCCACTGAACCATGATGGGGGCAATCCACTAGCAGTGACGGAATTTCCTAATTACTCCCAACCCTCTGGATGGAGCACAATCAAGAATGAGAACACATACCTTCACGCCGTGAGTAGACAATTCCTCAAGTGAAAGGGTCGCCAAATCCAGTGTGGCTACCTCCGATGTTGTAGTAACGACACACCTCGCATCAATCATGTCAACGTGGACGCGTCTCTCCAAATCCTGCTGCACCGCAGACGCAAACGCCCCTGTCAGATTCACCTGACACGAAGGATGAAACAACAGTTAAGGGCTCTTTCAACTTTGAACTAACAACAAAAGGCGGTTTCACAACACTGCAGCAAATCTCATCGATTTGCAATGAGTTCGTTTTTACCCACTCATTGCAGCAAGGAAACGGATTTTGTGGATTTAAGAACAAAGTAGGCCGTCCTACAGGGATCTCTTCGCAAACAAGACTGCAGTAGATATAGTGCTGGAAGATTGCCTGTTCTGTCTCATAAGTAGTATTCCAGTCAAACTGTGACACTCCATCATTCAATTGATTTCCACACAGTTCCCTCTTAGTTGCTGGTACTCTTCCCCACCCACATCCCCAGCCCTCCCTATGCACACATTCTTCGCAATCGCAAATTATCTTCTACAATTGTGCTGTTGTGGATTCGCCGTGTTCACAGAAGGACTCATCTCTTGCACACCTTCAACTCACAACTGACTCCGCGTCAATCGTGCATGCAAGATGAGGCATTACACGTGACGACCGAATATTCACGGAAATGACCGTCGAGACTGTGGACTGGGAACACACACCTCAGCAGGCCTCGACATCAACCTACAGACATACAGTCGTCATTTGCGCACATACACCATTCCGCTGTCTTACTGCTGAGCGATTAATCGCCCGAGTGAGTCAAGTAGACGTGCCCAGGTTCGTGCTAAACGCCTTCGTCCGGGGGAGGCTTAATGCATCGCACTTCACACGCTGCCGTATGCATGCACTCACTACCACCTTTGCCTGTCATCTCCATAAAGTGTGTCTGGGTCGACAAATGACATGTGTACGGGCCGACGTACCTGTCAGTTAGTACTGTGTGACATGACCTCTCCCCCTTTTAATACACTCAGTTGGACCTCTACAGCTTCTTAACCTCGCATTGCGACTGAGTAGGAAGCGCGTTAGACTTTGATGCCGTAGTTTTACGTGCACCTGACAGTCGCCACTACAGCTGCCTTCTTGTCTCTGGTCTTAACTCTGATCGCCCACTTGGCTTCTTCATCAATAGCCAACCCATGGACGGCGATAGTGGTCTCTGCATTCACCAGCCACGCCACTATCTTGCCAAGTATTCGGCCAGCGTTTCCGATTTCTCCTGCTCTTACTACGAAAGTCACCTTCAAAAACAAAATGCCTATTTTAATCCCTAAATATGCAATAAAACAGAAGACCCGATTGACGTACGACAATTAGTTGGTCTCTTGAGGCTGTTGAAGGAAACAAGGAAGCGCAGAAAGCTTCCTCAAGTACTTGCTTCTTTGGGAGAATCACAATTACAGTCTATTTATCCCATTCTTTGCCACACCCCATCGCCCTAGATACAAAACGCCTAGCCGTCTCCACCT